GGAATCGCTGCCGCCGGCAGGCTCCAACTGGGTTAGTGGGTGGGCGGGTGGGGGAGGGAAATCAGGCCGCGGCGAGGAGCGCATCGCCGCTGCCGTGCCATTCGCACGCAGCGTTCGCCTCCCGCCTCCCAGCCAATGGCATGGCAGCAGTCTTGAGCGGCAGCTGGCCGGCCAATGGCTGACGGAGCGCATTTTGTCTCAGCTCAGTCTTACTCAATTATATATAAGGCAGAGATACCCCGCCCTCCCAGGCGGCTTACAGCAGCATAAAAACAACAATAAATAGTAGAATGATCATAAAACCATATAACAATTACAACATTAAAAGGTGCTAACAATAATAATCCAAACACCATTAAACAGATAACAGTTTAGCATTACATTTGGGATGGCGCTCAGACTTCAGTGCCTTCCTAGTGGTCGATCCCGATCTAATATTGTGCGACTGGCTCAGGCTGCTTTGAAGATTACAGGGGGCAGGGTATTTCCCCCAGGGTGGCTCCTAGCTGAACACCTGGCAGAACAGCTCCGTCTTGCGGGCCCTGTGGAACTGCATAAGGTCCTGCAGGGCCCTGATCTCCTTCGGGAGCTCATTCCACCAGAGAGGAGCCACCACCGAGAAAGCCCTGGCCCTGGTTGTAGCTAGCCTGGCACCCTTGGGTCCAGGAAGGGTGAGTCCCAAACGGGCACCATTGGATCTCTGAGATCTTCTTAATCTTGGTTGCGTAGAGGTGGTAAGCTTCAACTTCAGCAGGGGAGGCCTTTTTTTGTTGGACGCCCACTGCCTCAGCCAAAGGCCTGGCGGAACAGCTCCGTTTTACAGGCCCTGCAGAAATGTAGTAAGTCCCGCAGGGCCCTGATCTTAGACAGGAGCATGTTCCATCAGGCTGGGGCCAGGACAGAAAAAGCCCTGGCCCTGGTCAAGGCTAAGTGGACAATATCAATGTTGATTTCGATAGCACTACTCCACTGTTCCCAAGAACACTTCACAAATTCTGGGCACTGCCTATGGCTAAAGTTGACTTCACCTCTACTTAGTTCCACAACTAAAGAAACGATGGTATCAGCTTTAATTCTCATTGAAACCATTGTCTGACTCCAGCCTTTGAACGCATGCCTTCCCACTCCCTGCCACCGTCCTCTTGGCACAGAGAAACGAGGCAGACGTGTTACCTGTTTTCGGCTTCTCCCGATTCCAGCATGTGCAGAGCTCTTGAAACGATAGAATTGAAAATCTGCTGATGGACAGAGATCTCCGCTTGCAGTATCTGTGGACATGGAATAAAGGAATCGTTCTGTGTCACATGCTGGGGAGAAAGCATGGCATGAATATGATACTTCATATTAACTAGTCTAAGTTGGAACATGCAAATCTTCCAGCAGGGAGGCTGAGAGCTCGTGAGGTGAAGCAGTTAGATTGTCCTTCATGCCTAGAATCATAACTATTATTATTGTATGGCATTGTGTGTATAGCCAGGAGATCAAAAGATTGTCTGGCTGCTTTAAGTTCTAACGCTTTTGTGGCGAGCTAGACTTATTTTGGGGGGCTGAGAGAGCTCTGAAAGAGCTGTGACTGACCCAAGGTCACCCAGCAGGCTTCATGTGGAGGAGGAGGGGGGAATCGAACCCGGTTCACCAGATTAGAGTCCGCAGCTCTTAACCAATACATCACACTGGCTCTCTCCACCACAGAAGCCCACCAAGTGAACTTGGGCTTGTCACAGTCTCTCAGTGTAACCTACCCTCACAAAGTTGTTGCTGTCAGGACTGGGATGTGGGACAATGTAAAAAGCAGATTTATATCCCCGATCAGGGAGAAAATCGGGATTTAAATTTTTTAAAAGCCCTAGCTATGATGGACAGGTGATGATTTTATTTATACCCCACCCTGTCCCACGAGTGGGAATAGGCTTATACATGCATATTCTACATGTTGACCTTTGCAGGGATGATTTATACACCTACAAATCTCAGCAGCAGAATGTCATGCCTGCCCCTGCTGATGTCATGCCTGCCTTTGCTGATGCCCCTGAACAGGCTCCTGAGGACCCTGAACAGGCTCCTGAGGACAGTACTGCAGCAGAAAGGCAAAGACTGGATCCTGTAGCTGAAAGCTATCTAAGTGGTGAGGAGGATAGAGCCTCCCAGGGAACACCTACAAGGGATCAGTCTCTGCTGCAGCCCAGTAATTCATCATCAGACTCGCCTCCACCTGTAACCAGGCTCAGGAATGTAAGAAGACAACAGCTGAGAGAGCGAAGGCAGAATGCACGCATGCGTGCCAGAAGATCTCTTAGCCCTGATTACTGACAGGATCCTGTCCTCACTCCTGGCTAGCTAATGAGTTGATTAGCTAGCACTGTATATATGCAAGTCTGTTGCCAGCAGTCATTTGTGCTGGCAACGTCGTTTGTTCAGGACCTGAATCCTTGCATCTCTGCTCCAGACCTTGTGGAATTCTTCTCGGCTTGATCCTCGGCTTTTGACCTTCGGCTTTGTTGACCCTGCATTCATCTCTGACTCCTCTGGTATTGTTGTGATTTATGGACTTGAAACTTTGGTATGTCTGACCCTGCTTTTGGACTGTGATTTAAACCTGCTTGAACCTTGCTACCTGGTTTGCCCGGCTTGACCTCGGACTGTTCCTGGACTTTTGCTTGCTTGCGTCACGCCCCCTGGTCCTGCCGTGACACAGAACACTTTGGAATGAGGAAGGATAGCTTGACCTCTTTGTCCTCCTGCACGGAACCTCAGAGAGAAAAAGCAGGCTATACGTAACTAGGGTAGGGAAATTCTTGGAGATTTTGTGGTGGAGCCTGAGGATGGTGGAGTTTGGGGAGCAACCTCAGTGGTGTATAATGCCATATAGTCCACCCTCCAGAGCAGACATTTCCTCCAAGGGAAATTACAAGGTTGTCGTTACCGGCTAAATATCAGGAGAAACTTCCTAACTGCAAGAGTGGTTGAGCAGTGGAACAGGCTGCCTCAGGAGGTGGTGGATGCTCCTTCGCTGGACATTCTCAAGGGGAGGCTGGACGACCATCTTTCGGGTATGTTGTAGGGGGTTGGACTAGATGACCTGCAGGATCCCTTCCAACTCTAACATTCTATGATTCTATGATCCCTGTAGTGTGGAGACCAGCTGTAATTCTGAGAGATCTCCAGGCCCTGATTGCAGGTTGACAAACCTATTAATTAAATGGATCACTGTGGTGCAGATACGTCCTCAGAGGCTGAACCTCAGGTCCGAATTAGAAGGAATCGCTGTGTGTTCACACGTGTGACCAGGTTATGCATAAAGCAAGAAAGTATAGGTGGGGTGGGAGAGTAAGACAGGCAAGAAGATGCTTTAGTCAGAGATGCTTTAGGCTGGTCCTTTATTGGGCAGGGGGGTTGGACTGGATGGTCTGCATGGCCCCTTCCAACTCTATGATTCCATGAATTCAGCTTCCTCCCCCGTGCACACCCCTTTGAGACCCTCAGCCCCTCGCTTGATAAGTAAACAGGCAGATAGACCAATGAATAACCATGGCTGCCTCCGTTAATGGCAAGTTCACATATTTTGGGTCTGCAGTGGAACAGAAGGGAGGAGGGGATCTCTTAGGGAGGCTGCATCCAAGGTGTTCATGGCTTCCCAACAGTGAGCTTAGCTACTTTTCTCTGAAATGATATACTGCTGTCGGGTCCTGCCAACCAGGACTATGAACACAGAGGTGATGATTTCCCTGGATGTCTCCCTCTTCACTAAGGTATCCCCATACTGCCGGGGTCCTCAACGTGGTGGCCCATTTTGGAACATCTAGAGCACTTAATATATATTGTTGTAATACTGTAGTAATGGTTTTATACGTTGTTTTATGGGTTGGCTTATGCCTACCTGTGAGCCGCCCTGAGCCAGCGCTGCGGGGAGGGAGGGCTATGAATTGAAATTATAAATAAATAAATAATGATCGCAGACATCTTTTCTTGCGGCCGCCAGGTGTTTGTAGAAAGTGGGTGGGGCCAAATAGTCTGATTGGCTGTGCAGATTTTTTAAAATGTTGCTTCGGCAGCGGCTGCCGCCACAGCACAAGGATCTGCACTGTGTGACTGAAGCGAAGCGGCGGCAACCGTTTTGTGGCTGGCTTCACCTCCTGCGGCAGCCGTTTTGTTGCTGCACCCGTCATTCCGCGTCATAGTTCCAAATGTGCCCACAGGCTCAGAAAGTTTGGGGACCTCGCCATATTCCATTGCATTTTATCTATTTATTTATACATCCAGTGATAAAAATGTGGAATTTGCTGCCAGAGGATGTAGCGATGGCCAAAAGCATAGACAGCTTTAAAGAGCAATTAGACAGATTCACGGAGAAGAGGTCTATCAGTGACTACTAGCCATGGTGACTAAAAGGAACCTCCACATTCAGGGGCAGTCAGCCTCTGAATCCCAGTGCCAGGAGGCAACATCGGCAAAAGGCCTTGGCCTCAGTGCTCTGTTGTTGGACCTCCAGAAGGACTGGATGGCCACTGTGTGAGACGAGATGCTGCACCAGATGATCCACTGGTCAGGTCAAGCAGGGCTCTTCTTATGTAGGTTTTTCCACCCTGCTGCCACCATTTCCAGAATCATGGGAGGATGTGGTGGGAAAGGGAAGCGGTAGAATTAGAGAATTTCTGCAAGCAGTAAAACTAGAGAATTTCAGCCCAAGGTTTGGCTGGCGCACTGGAGGCTCCTTGGCCTTCCGCTCACATTACCTCGTAATCCCTTTGTTGCTCCTCTAGCTCTTGCAGAGTCCCAGCCACATTCTCTTTCAGTCTCTCCTTCACCTTCTCGAAGAACTGAACCCATTTCTGACATCTCGTAAGAAACTTTTCGTCTGACTGAATGTCCTGCGGCTCACTGCAAAAAAAAAAAAAGCAAAAAGCAACTGTATTGAGAAACTCTTTCCAGTTGGAATGTTCAGTATCGTTCCAGAGGTCAGCCATGTTGGTCAGTGGTAGAACAGCTGGATTTGAGTTCAGTGGCATCTTGGGAGACCAAAAAAATTAATCTCATTGGTCTCTAAAGTGCTAATGGACTTAAATCTAAATGTTCAGTACTGTGTCAGCTGGGTAGCCAGGTCGGTCTGCGCTAGGAGAGCAGGACCTGAGTCTGGTAGCACCCTAAAGACCAATGAGATTTCCAGGGGATAAGCGTTGACCATCAAAGGCTTATCCTCTGGAAATTGTGTTGGTCATTAAGGTGCTGCTGGACTTAGGGTTGCCAGATCCCTTCGTCGTGCCAGCGATTTTTTTAGGTTGGGGGGGGGGGGGGAGGTCCGGGAGGTCCCTGCTGCAATGACTTCACCTGGAAGTGACATCATCATGTCGGGGACGTCACACAGCGACACTCTGGTTTGAGGGCAAAACTCTATGGTAAAACCGGCTTCAAACCATAGAGTCTTGACCTCAAACCACAGCATTGCTGCACGGCGTCCCCGACATGATGACATCACTTCCGAGTCGGGGACATTGTGCAGAAGCCCCCGAAAACCGGGGGAACCCCCTCCGGGACCTGGGGACTGGCAACCCTAGCTGGACTCGAACGTTAAATATATGTTCTCCTAACAAAATTCTCAACCACTCTACCACCCAAAGGACTTACTGTCAAGATCATCAGGAAAAAAAGCAACTGAGTGTGAAACGGGAGATGTAGACCGGAGCCTCACTCCTGGAAGACACAAACGGGGCCTCCTCAAAGCACAGTCCCTCTCAGGAGGAGGTCCTGTTTTGGAGAATGCCTAATGACCTTAAGGAATTAAAGCAGCCCCTGAAAGCTTTGCCAGGGTTGGTTTGCTCCCGCCTGCCAAGGGCAGTGGCCCACTGGAAACTTTCCTGGCAAATTAAGAGCCTGTCTGCTCCTAGACAAAAAGGAAGGACCCGTGTTATCTGAGTGCAGGGTAAGGGGAGATAGTTTAAATCTCTGACAAAGGAAGTGTTCTAAGAAGAACTTCTGCTTAGCCACCTGTAAAATGTTACAGGAGTTACCAGGGCAGTCAATTTTTTCCATGGCTTTGTCTCCCAGTTCTGCAATAACGGTTAAAGGCCATGCAACTGTATGGAGACGTCACCGAAGGCAAACCACCTGCGATCCAGAGAGGGACCACCAGACCTATCCGCTCTTGTCAAAAACCTCAGGAACAAAAGCTAGGTCAAGTGGGAGGACTCTGGAATGGGGATGTCTGCTGTAAGCGAAAGGGAAGCATCGTCTATGGTCAGGTGTGACTGGAACAGGAAGGGAAAGCTTCTGTTTGGCTTGTTTTACCTGCACTGCTCCAGGGCCATCGCTGTCTTCTGAGCCCACAGCCAGTTCAGGTTCTGCAATCGCTTGGCGGTGAAGTCACTAAGCGGCAGCTTGAAGCTGACTTCGTTCAGGCTCTCCATCTTGGGAGACAAAGCAGTGAGACCCAACATCTGGCTCTGAAAAGAAGGCAATTCAGTCAGGGCCGGAAATACTGGCACCTTAACGAAACAAACAAAAAAAATAGCGGCACCTTAAGGACTACCATTTATTCTGACATGAGCTTCCGTCGGTCACAGCCCACTTTGTCAGGCGGATATGTGATGGGAAGCCATACTGGGTTAGCACTTGGATAGGAGCCTACCCAGGAAGTCCTGGGTCATTACGATGCAGAGGCAGGCAACGGAAAACCACCTTCTGAACATCTCTTGCCCTGAAAACCCTACGGGGTCACCAGGGGTCAACTGTGACTTGACGGCACTCTCCACCACCATCTGATGAAGTAGGCTGTGACCGGGTCCTACGGGGTCACCAGGGGTCAACTGTGACTTGACGGCACTCTCCACCACCATCTGATGAAGTAGGCTGTGACCGGGCCCGTGGTCAGGATTTTGTGGCTTGTGGGGCATTTTTTTTTTCCTGGAGGGGCTGCCATTATCTTTATGTCAGCTCCAATCTGCCCCCAAGCCTGACCACCCCTCTCCCTCTCCCGTCAGCTGATCGGTGGGGAGCACGTGGCCCGCTGATCAGCTGGAGGGCCCTTTAAATCTTGCAGCAGGGAGGGAGGGGCTCATGCCATTCCTCGCTTCTTCTCGAAAGCATTTAAATCTTGTGGGCCTGGCCCTTTAAGGAAGGGGGTGGAGCCCCCAATAGCCCCACCGTAACTACGGGCTAGGCTGTGACCCATGAAAAGCTCATACTGGCCCTGACCCGGATAGCCCAGGCAAGCCCGACCTCGTCAGATGTTGGAAGCTAAGCGGGGCCGACCCTGGCAAGTACTTGGATGGGAGACCTCCTTGGAATACCAGCAGTCGGGAGGCAGAGGCAGGCTATCGAGCGACTTCTCTGAACATCCTCCATGCCCCAGTAGGAGTTGCCAGAGGTCGCCATGACTTCCAGACATGGGCACACACACACACACACATGCATGCACACACACACACAAAATACAAAAATACCAAAAAAGAAACGAAAAGCTCATACTGAAAGATAAATGAAAGTCTTTCAGATGCCACTAGATTTTTGTCTTATTTTGATACAACAGAGTGATACGGTCAATCTCTGGCAAATCTTCCAACTTGACACCTACAAACTCCTGGAAAAAGGGCATAATGGCGATCCATCGCCAATAAACAATCTGTCCTTCAAGGAAGTGCAGTGCACGACAATGATGCATCTCTGGATGCCTCAAAGAACTCGTGGGCACTCCATGAAACTGCAGAGCGGTCGGGTTAGAACGGATAAAAGGAAGTATTTCTTCACCCAAAGAGTGATTAACACATGGAATTCACTGCCACAGGAAGTGGTGGGTGCTACAAGCATGGACGGCTTCAAAAGGGAATTAGATAAGCATATGGAGCAGAGGTCCATCAGTGGCTATTAGCCACAAGGTATAGCTAGGGGCTCTGGGGCAAGTGATGCTCTGTCTTCTTGGTGCTTGGGGGGGGGGGTCAACAGTGGGAGGGCTTCTAATGTCCTGGCCCCACTGCTGGACCTCCTGATGGCACTGGTATTTCTGGCCACTGTGTGACACAGAGTGTTGGACTGGATGGGCCTTTGGCCTGATCCAACATTGGCGTCTCTTATGTTCTTATGTTCTTAAAGAAAAATAAAGGCCTAGGAATTTGGGACTATAGCAAAAGAGCAATTGTGCAACGAAGAAAAGAAGAGGAAGAGAAGAAGAGATTGGATTTATACCCTGCCCTTCACTCCAAGTCTCAGAGCAGCTTACAAACTCCTTCCCCTCCCCCTCCCCACAACAGACACACTGAGAGGCAGGTGGGGCTGAGAGAGCTCTCTTGAGAACTATCCTTGAGAGAACAGCTCTGAAAGAACTTGTAACTGACCCAAGGTCACACCAGCAGCTGCATGTGGAGGAGTGGGGGAATCAAACCCAGTTCTCCCAGATTAGTCTTCACACTTAACCACTGCACCAAACCGCTCCCTTATTAATAAACGGAGAGCATTTATTATTTACAGGCAAAAGCAATGTTCCTTAGATGAAGAGTAACGGCTGGAAATAATCACACAAGAGCACATTTTATTGCATCAGTACTCTCAAAATAATTGAATCGCACTCCTGTTAGCTGAAATAATTGGTTAAAAAGATAGCTATGATCTGAAAAACCACCAAACGGCACAGCATTCAAGTAGGCGGGATGCAAACAGTCACAATAATTTATTATCTAAATAAGCAACTGGGGGGGGAGAGCAGGGACAGACTGAAAACTATTTATTTCAGCATTTCAGCTTCTACCTCCCGTCAGTCACACAGCAGGATCTAAATGTGTTACCCGTGACGGCGGGAGCCAAAATGTTTAACTAAATAATTTCAAGTTTCTCTTTGGGCGTATTTTTTTCTCCCAGTCACAAATGTATTTGCTCATCTAAGCCAGGAGCTACTAGCCTTAGGACCGGAAAGTAACCTTCAGAAAGCCAAAGCAGGACCCCGCCCCCCGTCAAGTCTTTAAAGTATGGGCAGGGCTGGCTTTATAATGAGGCCTCAGGGTGCAGATTCCTATCCCAGCCACCACCAGCCAGCCAGATGCCCTTACCCAGGAGGGGGAGATGATCATCCTCTGTTTAGGTAGGTAAAGGTAAAGGTTTCCCTTGCTCGAAAGCCAGTCGAATCCGACTCTAGGGATGTGGTGCTCGTCTCCGTTTCCAAGACGGAGAGCCAGCGCTGTCTGAAGACGTTTCCGTGGTCATGTGGCCGGCACGACTAGACGACGAGGTGCACGGAACGCTGTTACCTTCCCACCTATTTATCTACTTGCATTTTCTTGCTTTCGAACCGCTAGGTTGGCAGGAGCTGGGGCCAGAGACGGGAGCTCACTCTGTCATGTGCCAGTTCTCAAATTCTTGCAATGCTCCTTCGTCTCATCAGAGCCCAGCCACCCCTCTCTAGCAGCCTACTGCCAGGGCAAACCGAATGGTGTCTGAAGTCTCACATGTAGAATACCTCAAGGGGGTAAGCATGGTGCAGCGGTTAAGAGCCAGTTTGGTGTAGCGGTTAGGAGCGCAGACTCTGATCTGGGAGAACCGGGTTTGATTCCCCCACTCCTCCTCCACATGCAGCTGCTGGTGTGACCTTGGGTCAGTCACAAGTTCTCTCGGAGCTGTTCTCTCAAGGGCAGTTCTGTCAAGAGCTCTCTCAGCCCCACCTGCCTGTAGGCAGTGTTCCCTCTAAGCTGAGTTAGTGTGAGCTAGCTCACAGTTTTTTAGCCTCCAGCTCACAGATTTCTGTCTTAACTCAGGAAGGATGGCTCCAGAGCAAACTAATTTATGCAGCAGCCAAATCACTCGCTCACAACTTTAATGCCAGTAGCTCACAAAGCAGAATTTTTGCTCACAAGACTCCACAGCTTAGAGGGAACATTGCTCACAGGGTGTCTGTTGTGGGGAGGGGAAGGGAAAGGAGATTGTGAGCCACTCTGAGACTCCTTTGGGTAGTGAAGGGCGGGGTATAAATCCAATCTCCTCCTCCTTCTGGAAGCCCTAGAGTGTGGGAACCTTTCCACTGAGCAGAATATGCAGGAGAACGTGGAAGGAGACCAGGCATGATGATCTAAGTAAGGGATCCCCAATGTGGTGCCTGTGGGCCCTTTAGTACCTGCCAACCTTTTTCCTGGGGCCCAACAAGTGCTTTCAGAAAGTGGGTGGGGCCAGGCGGGGTCTTTTGCCCAGCAAGGCTTCCAATCAGCTGCCGGAGATTTGAATGGCTGTGGAGATTTTTAGAAACGTTGTTTTGTCAGCAGCTGCCACCACAGCACAATGATCTTCAATGTGTGACTGAAGGGAAGCTGCGGCAGCCATTTTGTAGGTGGCCCCGCCTCCTGTGGCAGCCATTTTGGGGCAATGTGCCAGAATTCTAAAAGTGCCCACAGGCTCAAAACAGTTGCAGACTTCTTGTCACAGTCCAGCCTGGCCAGCCTGATTCCAGTGTGGCTGAAGACTCCTCAGGAGCTGAGGAGCCACATGCAGCCAGCTCTGAACCAGCTGAAGTTAGTGAATTAGAGATACAGGAGCCCCGAGATTCATTGCCGGCAGCTGACCTTGACCCACCCACGCCTAGCTCTGGAGTAGTCGATGAAGCACAGCTGCAGGAAAGTAGCCCACTAGGCTCCTCCCGTTAATTGAATAGTGAAGGGAAAGGCTCCGGCAAGACTTAAGGACACGCAGATGGAGTGCTCGCCTCTTGGCTCGGTGCCAGCTGCTCAGTGACAGCAGTTCTGAGTAAGTGCTGGAGCACCTCCGAGCAGACGACCCTAAATCAGGCTTTTAAGGAATGCCTACATAAATCAGATCTGGAGAACTGGCAGATTGTGGAAGCAACTTGTCACAACCCTGTGAACTTTGTGACCACAACTCTGGACTCTGCCTCCTGTAACCTTTTGGACCGACCCTCCACTCTGCTTTTTGGACCTTGCCTGAACCTTGCTGGTCAATGACCTTGGGCTGCCTTGACTCTGAACAACCCATGAACTCTGACTGCTGCGAAACCAGTATTTGACCCCTGGACTGGACTCTTGACTGTGATCCAGGTCTCTTGCCTTGCTCGGTGGTCTAGTTGTGTTGCCTTGCTCTGCCTGTATTCTGGGACACTTCTGTTCTAAGTTATTTGACTTGCTACTGGGATTCCACCAGCATACATCACAACCCCGTTGCTCTAATAAGCTTCAACCCCACTGCGTGGATATGTGTTTACCATGAGCAGATCCGAGCCTTCATCTCCTCGATCTGGATTGTCCATGGCTTCTACCGTTTCCTTAACACGATTTTCCAGTCGTTCCAAGCAATTCTCAAAGTCTTCTAGTTGCAGAAGATTAAACTGAGGCAAGGAAATGAATGAGAAGGCGTTAGACTGGGCATACGCAGGCAAAACGCACACCGCAGAAACAATGGACTCAACCGGCAAGGATAAAATGCGGTTCATTTTACAAACTTATGCGATTTACTGGTACGAGATGGCCACTGACCGGTTAGAACGGGATGCTGGATTAGATGGACCGTTTGTCCAATCCATCAGAACTGCTTTTGTGATATATGATACTCAATGCAGAGTGTATAAGGTACAGTTTATGATCTCAAGAATCCTGGCATAAAACTATATATATGTTTCTAGCATGGTGGTGAAAAGGGCTGTCAAGCCACAGTCTATTGATAACAATTCTGTAGAGTTTTCAAGGCATGGGATCGACAGAGGTGGCTTGCCGTCGCCTGCCTCTGCATAGTAACCCCAGCCTTCCTTGGTGGTCTCCCATCCAAGTACTAACCAGGGCCGACCCTGCTTAGCTTCTGAGATCTGACGAGATTGGGTTAGGCTGCGCCATCCAGGTTAGGGTATTTCTAGCATATATGGTTGCAAAGACAGGGTTGAAAGTCCCACTGGACACAACAGAAAGGATTTAAGTATAGACAAACTTAACTCTGCTGATGAAAACACTGGGACTTAAAAAATGCTCATGGCTGGCTTGGCTTACGGTGGCATAACACTGAACATTTAAGGGACTAAAAAAATAAGAAAGGGTCAGCTAAAAATAAACCCCACATTCAGCAGGGTGCATTTGTAAAACCAAAACCATCTCAGTTCTTCTCACGTTTCGAGTATTTGCAGAATGACTGCGACGTGCTGGCTAGCTGAGATTTTGTGCCTGCCATGTTCGTAACAGCATGTAAGAGGATGACTTAGTATCCCAATCTGCAACTAAAACACGCAGCTGAAAACTGTGGCCCTCCTACGTTTACTCTGCTTTGGGTGCCACCTTCAGTGCAAAAGGTGGAATCCAAATGCTTATTATGATCAGGGGCATCTGGTCCATTCGAAAGCCTTTCCACATAGTTGTTTGCTCATTTATTTATTTGTGAGCCCGAAATGAACTGAATGAAATGGATGGAAGACCCCTTACCGAAAGGTAAACTTTTAACGCTCAAAGGGAGTCGTGACGTTTTACATGGGAGTCATAAAGAAAACCTTAGGGGTCTTTTCCTACAAGGGAAGGGACCATAGCTCAGAGGCAGAGCATCTGCTTTGCATGCAGAAGGCCCCAGGTTCAATCCCCGGCATCTCCAACTGGAAGGATCAGGGGGTAGGTAATAGGAAAAACCTCCACCTGAGATCACGGAGAACTGCCGACAGCCTGAATAGAGACAATACTAAACCTGATGGACCAACAGTCTGATTCAGTGTAAGGCAATGTCAGGCCATCAAATCCTTTGGGGAGGGAAGCCCTTGAAAGAGAGAGTCAGCAGACAAGAGGAAGTGGCTTACTTTGCAGGTTGGAATCACGACTATGTCTACACACATCTCTACGTTACCTGTACCGTAGATGATATCTGCGCCTTACAGCTGTATCTAATGCTAAACAGTGAAACCTGTGCAAGTGTTCTAGGAATACAGGGGAGGAAGCAGGGGTCATTTCCTGCGGGAGCGCACAGGAGCGGAGCTCCGGCAGTAAGGAGCCCAGGGGGCGGGCACATGCAACAAGCCCCACCCCCTGCTCCCAGCAGCCCTCAGTCGGGCCACGAGGAGCAAGAAGCAGCCAGGTAAGTTGCAGAGCCCCCCCTCTGGCCCGCCTTCAGGGACAAGCTCTCCCTCCTCCCCAATAGCTAGCAATCCAAAAGAGTCCAGTGGAACCTGAGTGGTGGGTGTTGCCTTCTGACACACTTACAGTGATGTCAGGGGGTGTGGCACATGCAAATGAGTTATGCTAATGAGTTATGCTAATGAGCTCCGGTACCTCCTTTTCTATGAAATGACCCCTGGGAGGAAGGAGAGAAGTTTTGTGTATCCCGGGGAAAGACGAAGATGAGGGAAGGGGAGATGAAAGGAGAGGAGGACCCCCCCCCCACCTGCAACTCCTCACGGGCCACCCCGTACAAATCTGCATTTTCCAATGACCGTGTTAGGAGAAACCACACAAATATCTCTGGTGATGCTTTCAGACGCACAGCAGAAACATCCTCCAAGGAGTACCTGAAACGCGTCCGCTTTCGTCTGCAGCACCTGTTCCAAATAGGAGATCCTCTGAAGCGGCTGGAGCTTTCCCGGAAGTAGGGACTCCGCCGCGGGCTCAGCCGTCTGAGCTATCTTCTCCGCCAACTCAGAAACCTGGACGACGCTCCCTTTGATATTCTGAAGGCCGAGCTGCAGTTTCTAGAAAGAGAGGGAAGCACGTCAGGGCGAATGAAGGACAGGGTGCCAGCCTTAGGCTGAGACCGAGGAAAGTCCGGGGACAGCTGCGTTTTTACGGGCCATCTGTCTGCGCTCTGCTCTCTGCCCAGGCTGTTCCCCTGTCGTGTGGACTTGCCAACTGGCGCAGGAATGATGTTAGCAGTCTCTCCTCCAGAGAGCTCTCTCAGCCCCACCTACCTCACAGGGTGTCTGTTGTGGGGAGGGGAAGGGAAAGGAGATCGTAAATCGCTCTGAGACTCCTTCAGGTAGTGAAGGGCAAGGTTTAATCCAATTTCTTCTTCTTCGTCTTCTTGATGGTCACAGTCTTTAAAAACAATAGTTTAAATGTATAAAGTTTGGTTTTATAGTTTATAGTTTATAATTTTTCTATCAGAATAATTTTATTTTGATATCACTGTATTTTTAAACGTTTATTTTCATGGTTATGTCAACTTGGGCAGGATTCATGGTGTTTCTGTTTGATTTTATTCTAACAGAGCTTAGGGATGTAAGCCATTCCAACCACCTGGTAGGGCCAGTACGAAAGAACATCTGTAGTTTGGGCCTAAGATAACGGGTTGGATCCAGCCAGCTTTTGCACTCACCCATTCCCCGTTCTTGCTGCAGCCTCCATTGCACAGGCCTTGTTTGCGGCTGGATCCAGCCCATTGGATGCACTCCCAAGAATGTTTTCCTGAGGGTATAACTCAGTGGCATTCTCTTCCTCAACACCAGGGGTCGTTTCGTAGAAAAAGAGCTAGGGGAACTCATTAGCAGAACTCATTAGCATATGCCACACCCCCTGACATCACCGGAAGTGTGTCATAAGGCCACACACCCCACCTCCAACGGCCACGGCCGCCGGCCTTGCAGCTCCACTGCCGAGCCCCATGAGGGGCCCGGCGGTGGACCTGCAAGGCCGGCGGGAGTGCAAGGAAGCCCCGCAAAGGCCCTCCCTGGCCCCAGGCAGGCAGGGGTGGGGAGAGGCAGGGAGGAAGCAACTTACCCTCCCTCTTCTCCTGCCTCCTCCTGGCTGAATGAGGGCCGGAAGCGGGGTGGCCGGAAGCAGGGGGCGGGGCTTCGTCATGTGCCCCGCCCCCCGTACCTCACCCGGGGGAACCACAATCCCCCCCGAAACGACCTCTGCTCAGCACACTTCACAACTTTTCAATCCCTTCTGTTTTGCTACTCAAGGCATCGTAGTACCAAACATGGCAGGTTGCTTGCAGCTAAGGACATATAAGTATGCCCTTTTTAAAAACTCACTTTTTGTTTTCTTACGTTACCGTTGTTTCATCCACTTGTACTGTCAGGGGTTGTGTGTTGTTGTTTTTAATTCATTTGGTTCTTTCATGGCACTTCAATGCCATTTTCACATCATTTATGTGCAATTTAATGGTAACATTAAAGACAGCATTTGTAAATGTCAGTTGATGGCAGGCACACCTATTAAGGGCCAGTTGCGTACATTTAGCAAAGACAGTTGACGGAGAAGCAGGAGGAGGAGGTCCCGATCACATGAGCGGGATGATCCGCTGCCGAAGGGAGGCAAATTAGAGCCGGAGCAAAAAGAACCGCGGGAGTGCGATCCGACGTGCCCCTGCGGCTCCGTGCTCCGGCAACCGATCACACGTTGTGCAGCAAACTGGCAGTAGCACGGTTGTGCGCATGCGTGGGACGGGGAACGGTGCTGGCTGCGACAGGCTAGCAGCGCTTCCCTGACCAGACGCCTGGATCAGGAATGGGTGCGTGACACTTCTCAGATGTTGCAGTGTGATCACGCCCACTTGATGCGCCCCCGATCCGTCCCTCTTGCGGGGCGAATCCTCCCGTGTGACCGGGGCCGGAGTTGGGTTTTATACCCCGCCCTTCACTACCCGAAGGAGTCTCAGAGCGGCTTACAATCGCCTTCCCTTCCTCTCCCCACAGCAGACACCGTGCGAGGTAGGTGGGGCTGAGAGAGCTCTCTGGAGGACTGCTCCTGAGAGAACAGCTCTGAGAGAACTGGTGACTGACCCAAGGTCACACCAGCAGCTGCATGTGGAGGAGTGGGGAATCAAACCTGGTTCTTCCAGATTAGAGTCCGCGCTCTTAACCACTACACCAAACTGGCTCTCAAAAGAACTGCAGGAGTTCCTTTAGCAGATCTCCAGTGACGCTGCTAAGAAAGGAAGCCTTCCGCAAACATTCTGAATGCTGGAAGAGGGTCAAGCCAGGCTGTTTGCAGGATTCTTCAAGGGATGCAAATCCAGCTGCACTAACTCCCTTTGACTTCCTGCCTGCAGGTGATTAACAATACAAAGAAACTTGCAGTTTGCCTACTCTCCTTTTTTTCTGGGGGGAAGATGTGGGGGAAGATGTGTGTGGGGGGAACAGGAGCATCTCTTCTGAAATGTATAATTTATGACTATTTCCACTTAGCATCAAATGCAAAAAAAAAAAAAAAAGCAAGCACCATCTGAGATGTTAATGGGCATGAAGTGAGAATAAAATGCTAATCTGCCACCATTAGGAACAAATTTCGGCAACTGGACTAAATGCACGTCTGGCTTCCCAGCCCCATTTTCCCCCTTTGTGCGGCTGTGCCTCTTCGGGCTGAGCGAACCCGCCGCTTCGGAGCGATTCATTTTAATTTCTTCCCCATTATGTTTTCACCTGGCGTTCATTAATGCCACAAATCCATCAGCTTGCCGAGGCAGAGCATTTTACCGCAAGCCCTCAATCTCCCCTCAAAAATTGTTAGTACAGAAAAGGGGGTTTTGAGACTTAAAAGCTTGTCGGATGCCCGAATCGGTTTCCGAAGAGTCGTCCTTGACTGGAAAGGGTACGAAATAAACTCCCCAGCCATTAGAGCAATTATTGGCGTGTGTGTTTTCCCCCCTCTGCAAAGAAGGAGGAATGATGTGTCTCGTCTCTGCAGATATTGGGAAGCGATTATTACTAGCGGGTGATTTTAATGGCTTCTTTGCGTCCGGCCGAATTATTCCGCTGCTTCTTTGTCGGCCCGGAGAGGTGGAAAAGCTTTCTGCAAAGCTTGACAAGAGCTCTCGGGGAGATGCCGCGGCTACTCTTTTATTGGGGGAAGAGATCCTGAAAGAAAAAAATCTGAAACGTTTCCCATGCAGATAGTTTTCGCGAGGAGCCGTGCTGGTCTGCAGTAGTACAGTTAGATTCAAGTCCAGGAGCACCTTAAGACACCAACAAGATTTTGGGGGTAGGAGCCTCCAAGAGTCAAAGCTCCTACCCTAACGTGGGTAGCCCGGTGTAACGATATGAGCTTATGTTT